GGTGCGGGGCTCGGGCCGGGGGATGCGGAGCGGGGCGTGGGGGCTCCGGCCGGGGGAAGAGGCGGGGGGGTGCGGGGCGAGGGTTGGGGAGCGGGGTGTGGGGGCTCAGGCCGGGGGAAGAGGTAGGGTCGTAGCCCTTCGGCGGGCGGGGCCCGGCGCTGATACTCTCTGTCCCGCCAGGAAATCGGCCGCATGAAGGTGGAGTTGTTCGCTGACGTTGTGCCCAAAACGGCGGAGAATTTCAGGTAGCCTGTGACACTTTGCTCCCACTGAGGCAGCCCAATGCCTGGGGGTCGGTCACACGGCAACTCATGGAGGGACAGCCCCATACCTGACCATCCCTCCCTGTAGTGGGGCAGCCCTGCGCTGCATGGTGCCCAGGGTGTCTGATTGGGAAGAGATTTAGGGGTGGTTGTGCACTCAGTTTCTGCACACGCGTGAGCTGCCACATGCAGCAGATTGCACACGTGATCAGCCCTCTTTAACATCTGCTTTCATCAGCAAGGAAATCATTAACCGTGTTGACAATTAAACTGGATTTCAGAGCCAACATCCCATTCAGATGAGAGGGATAGTTCGCATTTCTCAAAGCTTAGTTTCAGGCTCTCTGTAGACCCAGCCAGACATCACTGCATCAGTTACACTGAGGTCATGTTTTAAGATGTCTTTATAATATTCAAGACTAGAGGTTTAAATTAAATTAAATCTTAGAATCTGGAGCACAGTATGCACCTTCTGGACTAAAAGTACCTGCTTGCTAGGCTGCCAGAAGCCAGACCAATGTTACCCCGGCCATTTTTTTTTCCACCTCTAGGAAATCCTACTCTGAGCATCTGTGTTTTCCTGCCCACCACTGCTTCCATTGTGTCACATTCTGGGGAGGGTGGGAATGGTCACGGGTATGTCTAAACTCTTCTCCTCAAGACATTCATAATTTCCTCTGAACTTTTACCTTTAACTGGTCCCCTAATGGTAAGGGGCAGGGTTAAGACTCTTATCCCCCACATCAAGTCTCCATATTGGAAATAGTCTAGCAGGTGTGATGGCCTTACTGTTATATCTCCCCATCACCACCCAGGCACCAAATTTTATGCTATCTCCTTGTGAGATTCAGTCCACAGAGTGAGCAAAACTCAGCTGTACATTCAGACTGGCTAGACTTTTACTAGTTCCTAAGGAAGGAGTGCCTGGCCCAAGCAGCTACTCCCACATGCTCAGAAAAGAGGAGTGAGTCAACCATTCCTGCTTGGGAGATGTGTGCGTGACTCGGAAACCCAGCAGCCCACTCTGTTCATGGGCTGGTCCCCACTTAGTCCGGACTTCGGACTAAGGTACGCAAATTCAGCTACGTTAATAACGTAGCTGAATT